CCTCGTAGCCCTCCACCCGCAGCCCGAGGACGTGGCCCAGCTAGGGCAGGGGCAGGGGCAGGGGGCAGGCGGCAAGCGGGCCGCGGTGCGCAGCTCGGAGCCGCGCAGCGCTCCCACCCTGCGCGCCAGGACCTGGAGGAGGATGCGGAGGATGGGACGCCCGCCCACTTGCTCTCTCGCGCCCCCTCTACCTCCGGACCGAGTGAGGAGCGCGGCTTCTGCAGGGGAAGCTTGGGGCTGCACTGTTTCAGTGCCCAGCTTCTGGGCCCGCAGGGACGCGGGAGGGATCGTGCTACCCTTTGCTCCTGGGATTTATCGACCTGACAGCGGGGTGGGGGGCGGAACAGAGATAACGGATTCCAGCATCGTCCTATGAACACGGGAGTGGGACGCAGGGCGTGACCCTGCCTTTAACCAGGGGCTGTAGCAGCCAAGGAGATTGCTGCCGCCGGGGTGGCGGTCCAGCCTCCTGCCTCCTGGGTTGTCCCCTTCCCTGGGAGGACCCTAAAGACTGGCCCCTAATCGAGCCCACGTGCTTGACCCTGCCACCGCCAGGTGAGAGCTGGAGATTCGAGTTGAGTGGAGGAGGATCCCAGCCCCGTCTTTTGGGAAAGAGTTGGGGCTACATGGGGTCTTGTCTCTGACTGAGGACACCTAATTAGGAGTGATGGTTGGGAGAGGGTCCAGCCCTGCAAGATCTGGGTTCTCCAGCCGACAAGAGGGACCAGGCTTCAAATTCATCTTTTAAAAAGCCGCTCCCCAAGGAGGTGGGGGCTTCCTGGTGCCAACCTGAGACAGAGCCTGTCAGGCCAGGGACTGCTCTGCAAGAAATGGTTTCTTTTTAAAAGTATGGTGTTTACAAGAGGCAGGAGAGTTTGCTCCACTGGAGCCAGTGTCTGATTTTAAAAAGCAAACCCACGATCTATTCTCTTCCTAGCAATAAGGATCCAGGAAGTTTTCAATATGCAGCTTTTATGCTTGAAGTATGGATGTGGAGCTCAGGAATTCCAGTGAGGTTTTGGAGAATTTTATCTCCCACTGGGCCCTGCAGGAGACTGGCCCAAGGATGTCTGACTTAGGCTAGGACTGCTATTCTGGAAAGGAAGGAGCTAGACCTTTCCTCCTGGCTGTCTACGAGACACATCAAACTTAACATACCCAAAGCCAGCAGCATTATCTCTCTCACCCCATTCCAAATTTCTTGTAATTATTAATGGCACCGTTTTATACTTGGCAACCCAATCCATTCCAATAAATCCTTTAGTCTCATTTTATTTTCCCTCATCTACTCAATCACCAAAATCCTTTGGCTCTCCATTTAAAAACACCTCGATTTATGTAGCAACTCTGCCATGAATGCTGTAGGTCCAAGTGCTCATCATCTCTCACCTGGACTACTGAAATCTCATTACTGGTTTCTATACCTCACCTCATCACCCTCCTCCACCACCCACTGCCAGAATGATCTTACTAAAAATAAAATGTAAGTATGATTTGCTAAGGCCACTGCTCTCACGAGTAAAGTCCATGCTCTTCAGCATGACTCTTCATGGGCTCCCTCGACCTAAACAGCTGGTTCACACTCCGGGATCCAACCACCTACCCTAGCAATCCTCAGCACACTGCAGTTTCTTGGTGTGCTTCTGCACATAGTGTCTCTCATGTCCAGGATGTCTCACCTCCATCTTGTTCACCTAGAAAACTATTCTTCCCTAAAGCCCAGCTCAGCATTAAATCTCACCCCTCCCTTCTACCCCCACACAATACATGATGGAACTAATCCTTCTTCCTCTTCTGTGTCACCATGTGCTTCATACATGTTACTGCATTCACCTATAATGTGCTTTAAGCAACTGTTAATGGGGCTGCATTAGACCCACCAGACCAGTCATCTTAATGTAGGGACTATGCCCTATTAGTCTTTGGATTCCTATCCAATGGGACATTCAGCATAGTGCCTGCTATAGAATAAGGAGCAGCAAATCTTTAGTGAACTGCAAATCAGCTCTCTTATAGGCAAAACCCATCTTGTTGGCCCCTCCATTGCCCCCCTTTTCTTTTCATAGATCACAGGTCTTGTACATCACAGAACATCACTAGAAAGATTGCTGACTTCACCCTCTCATTTTTCAGTGGAAGAAACAGTTCCAGGGAGAAGAAGGGACTTACTCAAGATCACACACAGCCAAGACTGTACTCAGTCTTCTGTTTCTGAGACCAAAGTAGTGGGGAAGAGCTTGTGCTCTGGGTTCAAGCAGAGCTGGGCTTCAATCCAATTTTTTAACTTAATAAAGTTGGGACAAATCTATTTCACTCTCCAGGTGTTACTTTCCTCACCCATATAATGGAGATAGTAAGAGGGTCTACTACATAAAGCTGGTTTTTTGCTCATTATATACATATGCAATGAATATCCAATCGAATGGCTCCTCTGTGCCAAGCAAATGCACGGTGCTGATCACTGGATAGACTGCAGTGAACCAAACTGACACTGTCTCTGCTTTCAAAGCTCATACTCTAGTTGGGAAGACAGCAGTAAACAAGTAGATAAATAGTAACTAAATTACTTAAAGTAATATATGTCCTGAAGGAAATAAACAGGATGAAATGATAGGGAATAATGGAAAGGAGAGAGGGTAGGTCCACTTGGATAAGGGAAGGTTTCTCTGAGACGATAACATTTAAACTGAAACTAGAAGGATTGGAAGGATATAGGTTATGTGAGATAAGTGCTTAGTACAATGCCTGTTGCAGAGTAAGGGCCAAAATTAAGGTTGAATATTATTGATATTTTACTTATACCAGTGGTTTTGAATCTAAGAGCTCACAGTCTCTAAGTAGTGTGTAGTTATTGCAACCTAAGACCTTCTGTATATTTAAAAAAAAAAAATGCAATGCAGCCCTGGTCAGGTAGTTCAGTTGGTTAGAACATCATCCCAATGTGCCAAAATTGTGGGTTCAATCCCCGGTCAGGGTGCATATAAGAATCAACCAATGAATGCAATAAAAAAATTATTTGTAAAGAACATGCAATGCAACTTTTCAATAATAGATGCCACTGGGAGGAATAAAAATACATATTCTCTCTTTTTCACATATCCATTTTAAAGTATAACAGGACACTGTCTAGTATGAAGGCGACTGAATCAAAGTGAAGAAGAGTGGCAAGATATGCTACCATTTTCTCTTTTTTGAAAAAAGATAAATATATAAATATTTGCAGAGCATAGATTACCTTTGAAAAGACAGCAGTAATTAAAACAACAGTTGGCTCTGGAAAGGGCACTGTGTGACTGAGGAATGGGGTACAAGAAGAGTATTTTTCATGGTACTCCCATTTGTACCTTGTGACTTTGTATCACGTTCACAAACTACCTACTAAAATTTTTTAAAGAGGGGATCCTCTAAGTTTTTACTGTTGTTTAATTTTTGTGTGTATCACTTAATTTTTATCATGTATTTTCTCAATACATGATACTTAATGCTACTTAAGCCCTGACCGGTTTGGCTCAGTGGTTGGACCGTCAGCCTGCAGACCAGAGAGTCCCAGGTTCGGTTCCTGCTAAGGGCACGTGGCTTAGTTGCAGTTCGTTCCGGCTCCAGTTGGGGTCATGTGGGTGGCAGCTAGTCGATATGTCTCTCTCACACAGATGTCTCTCTCTCTCTCTTCCCCCCCTACTGGGTCACCTCCTGCATGTCCCCTACTGGGGATTTGGCCCACAACCTGGGCATGTGCCCTGACTGGGAATCCAATCGGCGATCTCTTGGTGTATGGACTGATGCTCAGCCACTGAGCCACACCGGCCAGGCAGGCAGAGACTTCTAAAGGGAAGAAAAATGCCTGTCCAGTCTTCCTTAAGGTGTGATGTGTATGAGGACAAGCTTCCAGAATTAGCTTCAGTCATTTAGTATAGAAGAGCAGGGTATTTGTTTTCTTAGGACAACTTAATTCTATATTGACTTTTTCCTGAGGATAAAAGTAAATTAACATGCTTGTCTTATAAAATAAAGCTTGAGCCTGGCCGGTGTGGCTTAGCAGTTGGGCATCGACTCATGCACCAAGAGGTCACCAGTTCAATTCCGGGTCAGGTCACATGCCCAAGTTGTGGGCCCAATCCCTAGTGGGGGGCATGCAGGAAGTGGCCAATTGATGTTCTCTCTCATCGATGTTTCTATTTCTCTCTCCCTCTCTCTTCCTTTCTCTATAAATCAATAAAGAAAAAAAAAGTAAAAATAAAGCTTGATATTCAAAACCTGCTAATTCTTCATTGTAAATTCAATAATTGATAATAAAAATAATAATAGCTACCACATATCAATGGCCTGCTTTTTTTTTTTTTCCATGCCTCAACAACTTTGCATTTTACAAATTGAAGAGACTTATGGAAGTTTGATAACTTGCCCAAATGACAGAATTGGGCTTCTCATTTAGGTTTGCCCATTGTTGAAAGCTTGCTTTGTATACCCCCATGTCTTTCTGAGTAAGAGGTATCTCTCAGCCTCACTGTCATTGTCATCTGAGAGGTCTCTAATCTCTCCAAATTACTTTCACCAGTGTCACACTGCTTGGAATTTATAACACTAGAAAGCAAGTGATATAAGCATCATTTCATAAAAAGATGAGGAAAATTGAGACATTGAGAGAATTTAAATGACTTTCCCAGGATCACAGAACTACTAATGAGGCCAATTTTTATCACACACTCAAGCTCACACTTTTGGGAGGTTTCTCTCTATTATTTATTTATTTTAATTTGTCTAGCCTTATTGAGGTATAATTGACAAAATTGTAATTTATTTATATATTTTTAAATAAGTTTATTTCAGAACATTTAAGGTGTATGAAGGAGATGCAACTTAACACATTGGCACAAATAGCCCAGGTATAACTCAGCTTCATTTTCATTTCACAAATTGCCTTACACGATTATTTTTATAGTGAAAAGTCATGATTTTGCTAGTGAGTGCCACACATTGAGGATGCCCACTGGGACACTACACAAAATATGAAGTACTTCACAAATATGAGTGTCACCCTGGTGGAGAGGCCATGCTAATCTTGTCTGTATAGTTCCATTTTAGTATATGTGCTGCCGAAGAGAGCACATAATATGTTTGAAGTGTACAAGGTGTGCCCTGGCCAGTTTTCTCAGTGGTTAGAGCATTGGCCCATGCACTGAAGGGTCATGGGTTTGATTCTCAGTCAAGGGCACATAGCTGGGTTGCAAGTTCCATCTCCAGGGTGCATGTAGGAGGCAACCAGTCAATGTCTCTCACACATTGATATTTCTCTCTATGACTCTTGTCTCTCTCTTTCTTTCTCTCCCTCCCTCCCTTCTTTCTACTCTTTCTAAAAATATATCCTAGGGAGAAGATTAACAAAAAATAAAAATATTTGAGACACCAATCAGAAAGAATGTATGCACCCCTGGAAACAGCCCAAGTGTCCATCAGTAGATGAGTGGATAAAAAAGCAATGGTACATGTACACAATGAAATATTATACAGCTGTAAAAAAGAAGGATCTCTTACTCTTTGACACAGCATGGAGGGACCTGAAGAGTGTTATGTTAGGTGAAAACTGACAAACAAAATAGATCCAGAGACTTGGAAGCAGGGAACAGGCTGACAAACCTCAGGGGGAAGGGGGTGGGAAGAGATAAACCAAATAACTTATATGCATATATGCATAACCAATGGACACAGACAATCATGGGGTGAAGCTGGAAGGAGCAGGAGTGGGGAAGAGGTGGTCAATTAAGAAAAAAGGGGGAATAGCTGTAATACTTTAAACAATAAAGATAAATTAAAAGTAAATAAAGATAAAATTAAAAAATAAAGTGTACAAGGTGATAATTTGATATACATTGTCAAAGGATTTCTACAATGGAGTTAATTAACACATCCATCACCTCATATATTTACTTCTTCTTTTTTTTTTTGGTGAGAACATAAGTTCTACCCTCTTAGCAAATTTCAATTATATAATACATCGTTATCGACTATAGTCACAATGTTATACATTAGATCTTAAGAGCTTATTCATTTTATGCCCTGGCCGGTTTGGCTCAGTGGTTGGAGGGTTGGCCTGTGGACCAGAGAGTCCTGGGTTTGGTTCCCGCGAGGGGCATGTACCAAAAAAAAAAGAGCTTATTCATTTTATAATTGAAAATTTATATCCTTTTACCAAACTCTCCCCCTTCCCGCACTCCCCAAATCCTGGTAACCATCATTAGGTTCCATGTATAATGACACTATACTGTATTTGTCTTCCTCCATCTGGCATATATATATATAAATAAAATAACATCCATTATTATCCATTCATCCACTGATGGAACTTAAGTTCTTTCCATACCTTGACTGTTGTGAATAATGTTGCGATGAACAGGGGAGTATAAATATCTCTTCAAGATAATGATTTTGTTTCCTTTGCATCAAGCTCACACTTTTGAACAGAACCACACAGAGACATGGAAGCCAGACCTGTTCACTACCTACTATGACTCCCCACAGGTTTGTGAAAAAACTGGTTCATGGTAGCAGTGGGTTGTGTCACTATATAATAATCACTGAGAACAAAAACAGAAGTAGACAGAATGGTATAGACATTCTGAATTCAAGATAGAACACCCACATGAAAAGCTTGGCTTCTTCTCCCAGATCCCTCCCACACAAGATGGACTTCCTCCAGCTTTAGCCAATTCAGTGGCCAAAAATGGCCACTGAACCAGGTTACATGACTTACTACATCCAGGAGAACTGGCGCGTTAGGGAGACGTGCATGGCCTTTCTGTGGTCACCGAGTCCCACAAATCAAGCCGAACACTTTGCAGGACAGTCTCATTTTCTGAAAAAGGATGTTTTGTAAACTTATTTTTTTTCCTTTTGAGGTCTGTTTTCTAAATTTGGCTTCCAGAGTTGCTCTTAGGTTCTGTGTGGTTAATTTCTTTTCCTCCAAGGATTTTTCAAACAAGGAACTAAGTAGAAAACAGATATTGAGAATCTGAGACTATTAGCACTGGGAAGGACTTTAGCATCAATGTGGCCCGATGCCCTCCTTTTACAGAGGAAGACACTGAGACCACAGACATCATTTGATTTGCTCAGGGTCACACAGCCTCGTTAGTGGCAGAAAGGGCACTAGTGCTCTTTTATCCACATTTCGACATCCTGGCTCCACCCCAGCTGGAATGTGGGCCTGGGCAAGTCACTCCAACTTTGAAGCTTTGGTTTCCTTCTCCAATACGATTGGGATACTAACTCTACTTGTTAGGGGTTTTGTGAGGATTCAGTGAGATAATTCATGCAAAATGCTTCACAGTATCTGGCACAGAATGTGGGCAACAGACTCAAGCTGCCCACCTCTGAATTCCACTTCTGCTACTTGCTTAACTGACATTTGGCCTAGTTACTTCACTTTCTGTGTCTTGGTTTCCTCAACTGAAAAAAATGGGTAAAAGCGATAGTAGTTCCTACCTCATTAAAATTGTTGCAAGTCTTACAGAAAATAATATAAATAGCCCATTTAGAATAATGCTTGGCACATCTTAGCTATTATTAGTCTGACTGGAATAATCATTTTTCTTAGTTTCAGTAACCATACTTTACCCCTAATTCAGCAGTTTTATTTTATGCTATTTTATTTTCTTTATTGATTTTGGAGAGAGAGAAAGAGAGGGTAGAAATGTCGACGAGAGAGAACATCGATTGGCTGCCTCCTGCATGCCTCCCACTGGGGATTTGGCCCATAACCTGGGCATGTGCCCTGACTGGGAATCAAACTGGCCACCTCTTGGTGTATGGGTCGATGCTCAACCACTGAGCCACACTGGCCGGGCAAATCCAGCAGTTTTAAAACGACCCATTTTCATATGTTGTGAACACATGCTAAAATTATTAAGAGTAGAACCTGATGTCCTACTCTCTATATATATTTATTTATATATATATATATATATATATATAAATTTTTTTTTAAGTCACATCACTTGTAGTCTCAGCTCCCAATCAAGAGGGGACCTGATTCAATACTTTATAGCTTAGGGCTATGCCAGGAGTCCAAGAGGTTCCACTCCCCAATTTGCTGAAAAGGGTAGCAGCCCCTCTGTCTGAGTTGTTCCATCTGGGATAATAATACTTATTTCTTTGTAAAGTGCTTGGAGACCTTCGGATAAAAAGTGCTATGTGAGCACAAATTGTTATCTCTTTTCCAGATATCACTTTTAGAAACAAATCCAGAAGCTCCTAAAATAGACCAGAGCTGTATAATCTGGACATAGACATACCTGTCCTGCAGTATCACAATCGGATAATACACTCACGCTTTACACACCATCATCAGTTTTCTTTTACATGTCATAGCATATCTGATTTGGGTTGAGAAAAAATTAAATGTCCTCAAGCTGAATTTTTTGCTGTTTAACATTCAAAGATTTCTCTCCCTCTGTTTTCCTGATTTGTGTATTTGGAATTCTCTCCTGAGGTCAACAGGAACTTTGAGGTTGATTCAGCTCTGGGGGCGAGAAGCAGGACGAGAAGAAGAAATCATTCTCTTATTTGTAAATCCTCCTCTTTCTCTCTCTCTCCTCTCTCTACTTTCTCTCTCTCCCCTCTCTTCTCACTGTCTCCTCTCCCTTCTCTCCCTCTGAGTGTCCAATCCAACCTTATTTCTAACTTGTAATTCCCAGTTTACGTGTGTTCTTTTTCATTTGTTTCCTAGACACTTCCAATATCAGCCACGGTCAGAAATTTTAATACTTAACTTTTTCTGAGTTTGTTTTTACAATTCATAAATTTATTTATTCATTCTACCAAAAAGCATTTCTTGAAAACCTACTATGCATACTGACCCAGGTGCTAAAGAAATAATAACCATGGTTCCTGCTAGAGCTACAGTCTAGGCAAAATTAGAGTCAGGAGCTATTACCGGTTGAGCTAGAGCCTGCCCTGGACCTCCCACTCACCCCCCAATACATTTTCCTTTAATGTCATCTCTCCCATTTGCCTCTCAGACTCAGTGTCTCACTGTCCTCTCAGCTCTCCCACTTATGGGCAGAGAACATATGATCTGCGAATATGAGATCCTCAATGCCTTAGTTTCTAAGACAGTCCATATTATTCATTGCAAAATAAAATTATTTATTCAAAAAATAGTTTTATTCATTCTTTCTTTTAAAATATCCATTTGATTAACATTTATTTTGCATTTTATCACTCAAAACTATTTTTAGTGCCTACTCTGGACCAAGTTTTTTATACCAGAAGCTGAGAATGCAAGAGCAAATAAGACACACGAGGTCCTGCTCTCAAAGAGCTTATACTCTTAAAGGGAAAGAGACACAAAAAAGGAAATGAAACATTTCAGTAAGAGAGAGAAAAGAGGACGGAAGAAAGAGCGTGTATGGTTAAATTGAAAGTGACTAGGACGGAATGCCACTTGCAAGGATGTTCTCTATAAGGAGATAATATTTGAGCTGAGGTCTGAAGGATGAAGAGGAGGGAGCCACACAAAACTCTGGGAGCAGAGCATTTGAGGCAGAGGAAAGAATTCCATACAGAGGACCTGAGACAATAACAAACTTGACTTCTAAGTATGGAAAAAAGGCTAGTGAGGTTGGAGATTGCTTTAACAAAGAGAAAGATTGGCATGGAATAGGGTTAGGGAGATAGTAAAGCAGATTTATGCTGGGCTTGGCAAGCTATGGCAGGTTTGGATTGTATTCCAAGTACAGTGGGAAGTCACTAGAGGGTTTAAGTAGAAGAATGGTATTATCTGGTTTATACTGAAAAGAGATCACTCTGCAATGAGAAGCAGAGACTGTAATAATGAAAGAGTGGAAGCAAAGAGAACAGTTAGGAAGCTGTTACAATAGTACAGGTAGGAGGTGACAATGGCTTAGACTGAGGTAGTGGCACTGGAGAGGAGGGAAAATGGGTAGAATTCAAAGTAGAATTTGAAGGTGGAACCAACCAACCAAGATTGAATGAAATGGGTAAAGAAAGTAGAGTGATCAAGGATGACTTAGTTTTGTATTTGAGCAACTGGACAGATGATGACAGCATTCATCAAAATGCAAAACTCAGCAAGTAACACAATGAGGCGA